GATAGATAGATAGATAGATAGATAGATAGATAGATAGATAGATAGATAGACAGACAGACAGACATATACAGTATAGATATAGATATACATATAGATTAGATAGATAGATAAGATGGATAGATAGATAGATTAGATAGATATAGATGTGTGTATGTATATATGTACGTGTGTGTGTGTGTGTATAGTATAGGTATAGATAGATTATATAGATATATACACACATATACACATACATATAACAAGAACAGGAAGTTCCTCACAGAAGTAGACAGAGGCAAATCCTAGAGTGCAAAATGTATCACAAAACAATGGAGAGGAATACTAGGGAGGAATAAAGCTGCATACAAGGCAGACATAAACACCTGTAACATCTTCTCCTGTTCATATTAATAACAAACAACATTGTAAAAGTGTGCATGTGTATTTGTGTGTAGTAGAATATAGGTATATAGGTATTCCATAAGACTCACCTTCCTCTCCCAGATTCAAACTCTACTACTCTGAAGTTTAGCAACTCACATCCTATTCGAACATTGTTTTTTTTATTCATTCTAAATATTTTAACATCGTTGTTGAGGAATATTTGAGAATATTACATTCCTTTCCAGTCCATGAAATGTAAATATAATAGGAATAATATTTACATTTTCCACAGCAATGATAGGAAAAAATATACAGGTAGTCCTCAACTTATGACCACAATTGAGCCCAAAATTTCTGGTGTTAAACGAGACATTCGTTAAGTGTACCCCATTTTATGACTCTTCTCATCACAGTTGTGAAGTGAAGAACAGCACTTCTTGTTAAGGGAACCTGGCTTCTCCATTGGTTTTGCTTGCCAGAAAGTTGCAAAAGGGGACCTGCAACCGTCATAAATACGAGCCCGTTGCCAAGCATTGGGATTTTGATCCCCTGACCATGGAGAGGCTGCAACAGTCATAAGTGTGAACAACGGTCGTAAGCCACTTTTTTCAGTGCTGTTGTAACTTCGAACGTCACTAAATGAACTGTTATTAAAGTCGAGGACTACCTGTCATGTAAATAACATAGGAATATTGACATTTTCCACAGCAATGATGGGAAAAATGGATGCCAACATGTTTTCAATGCTTGCCCTCCCTCCCTCCCTCCAAAAAACGTCACAGAGCACGGCCATTTTGTGAGCTTTCTCTCAATGATTCATCCCAGGTGCTTCTCAACCAATCCCTGCCTTTCTCTTGTAACTCAATGAATTCTAAAAATAATGGGATTGATACCTAAAACCCCACATGTCCCCTGGAGTCTATGAATAGGAGATGAGCTATAGGGAGTAATGAGCCTTTGAATTCCTAGGGGAGGGAAGAAATTAAGACATGCCTGAAACGTATTCGTAAGGGTTTCACCGTCTACAAAGGGCTCCGTGGTTTGCCGAAATACAGAAAATCAAGTTTGCAAGCTGTCATACGCCCAATACAGGTAGTCCTTGACTTACAACAGTTCATTTAGTGGCCATTCAAAGTTACAACAGCACTGGGGAAAAAAGTGACTTATGCCCTCTTTCAAAACTTATGACTGGCTAAGTGATTACCATTCAGATGCTTGGCAACGGGATCCTATTTGTGACACTTGTAGTGACAAGCAAGGTCTGTGGGGAAACAAGATTCACTTAACAACCGAGTTGCTGCTTTAACAACTGCAGGGAATCACCGAAGAACAGCAGCGAGAAAGGTTGTTAAAATTAGGCAGAGCTCACTTAACAACTGTCTCGCTTAGCAACATAAATTTTGGGCTTCATTGTGGTTGTTCAGTCGAGGACTACCTGTACAGAAAATCAAGTCTGCATGTTGTCGTACACCTAATACAACCCAGCACAACGGGGGCCTTATGCACAAGCAGTGTAGAGCACTCTCAACAACTTGCTTTCAGAGGTTGTGACTGCTCCACTGCTGGAGGCTTTTAAAAAGAGATTGGACGGCAGCCATTTGTCTGAAATGCTATAGGATATCCTGCTTCAGCAAAGGGTCAGACTAGTAGGTCTCCGAGGTCCCTTCCGGCTCGTTATTCTGTTAAGGAGACAAGGGTTCTTGTTAACCCCAGGACAACCAGCAGCTTCTAGAAGGCTTCCTTCCATGCTATTGTGAAACACAGAAATCTTGAAATCTGACCCCTGCAAGTGAGAAGGAACTGAAGCAAGTATAGATCGGAAGAAAACCTTGCCAGAGATCCTTGCTTTGACTCTTGGACTATGTCCCCAGGATAAGATCAAAGCTAAAAGATGGATGTCACTGGCCCTTAACCCAGCTCAAAAATCCATGGCTCTGGGTAGCTGCCAATCAAGATGATAAGGTAGCATTATCAATGCTAGCAAACTAGCACTGATGACGTTGCCAAGTTTGGGTAGTGAAACATCTGCAAGGAAACAAGCAAACTCAGAGAGCACCAAGGACCACACTGACATCTTCTTCTTCCTCTTCCTTTCCACAAACCCCACTCCCTTCTAGCACCGATAATTTTACTTAGTTGGGTAATGAAATGTCTGCAAGAAAACAAACTAAGCTCATAGAGCACCAAGGACCCCACTATCCTCCTCCTCCTCCTCCATGCAAATCCCATTCCCTTCTAGCACTGATGATGTTACCTAGTTGGGTAATGAAAGGTCTGCAAGGAAACAACCCAGCTCAGAGAGCACCAAGGACCCCTCATTATCAGTGGAGGCAGAAGAAAGGTGTGCTTCCTAAATTGGTAGTCCAGCATTGGTGTACTCCAATGCAGAATGCTGTGTGGCCCCCTTTCCCAATCCACTGCCCTCCAGCTTCCAAGATTCCTCAGAGGCTGTTGTGGTTAGCCGGCAGCAGTTGCAGATGGCTGAGGAGAGCGAGAACTCAGATGAGGAGCCAGGACCATTAGGGAGTGGACTGCTGCCTTCACAGATTGTGGGGGCTGGCAGCAGCGATGAGGAGGTTCCCGAGGAGCCTGTGCCAAGTGCGTCTGCACGCAGGGCTGCTTGCAGGAAAGAGCAGCTGCAGCAGCAGCACCAGCGACTTGGGAGTAAGGCTGAAAGGTAATGGCCCCTCCCTCAAGAAGATAAAAGCCAGCTGTGAAACTAACCTTCTTTGCAGAAAGCAAAGACGTTTTGAAACTCCAGCCTCGTGGACATTCCAGTATCCTGAGTTTATATTGCAAACTATTTCTTGTCTATTATCTTTTGGCAAGCCTGGCGCTGTTTGGCAAGGCTTGTGCTTATCACAGCTAATTATTTGGTAAAAGTATGACAAGGTTTTTGTTCCTTTTGAATTTGTGTTTGATTTGTCCGGAAAGGGCGTGGGTCGGAACAGTGGCTCAGTGCCAGACTGGGAAAAGCGGAGTTCAGGAGCAGCTGATCCCACCCCCCCACCCCCACCTAGAGAAACCCCCCCTTTCTCACCTGTGAAGTCCCTGTAATCATGTTCTTGATGAAATCTCTATGGCCCGGAGCGTCAATGATGGTGATGTAATACTTGGTGGTCTCAAACTTCCACAGGGAAATGTCAATGGTGATGCCTCGCTCGCGCTCAGCTTTCAGTTTGTCCAGCACCCAGGCGTACTTGAAGGAACCCTTTCCCATCTGGCAGGGAGAAAAGAAAAAGAAAAAAGAAAAAGAGACCACCAGGTTGGATACAGGTAAGAAGGCAACATTCTGAGACGCATCAGACGAGAAAGGCGCCTCTGTTTCTGAACCATGAATTCTGCTGCTGGGTCTCAAAAGACTTTCCCGTAAAATGAAAAATCTTGACTATATAGTCCTCGATTTACAACAGTTCTTTTGGTGACCACTCCAAGTTACAACGGCGCTGGAGAAAAAGTGACTTAGGATCGTTTTTCAGACTTACGACCGTTGCAGCATCCCCCGGGGTCACGTGATGCTTGACAACGGATTCACATTTACGACGGTTGCAGTGTCCCGGAGTCATGGGATCCTCCTTTCGTGACCTTCTGACCAGCAAAGTCCACCGGGGGGTGGGGGAGCCAAAGTCCGTGGAGCTAATTTAAGAACGGCAGGGATTCACTTCACAAACGGGGTGAGGAAAGTCGTAAAATGGAGCAAACCCACTTGACAAATTTCTCACATCGGTGTTGGGCTCAACTGTGGTCGTAAGTTGAAGACTACCCACTTATTCATTTAGCAACAGTGGCACTGAAAGGGGCAGGACAAGAAGCAACGGATGGAAACTCATCAAGGAGAGAAGCAACGTAGAACTAAGGAGGAATTTCCTGACAGTGAGAACAATTAATCCGTGGAATGACTTTCCTGCCTCCCTAAGTTGTGAATGCTCCAATGCTGGAAGTTTTTAAGAAGAGATTGGACCACGGTTTATCTATAATGGTATAGGGTCTTCTGCAAGAGCGGGGGGTTGGACTAGATGACCTCCAAGGTCCCTTCCAACTCTGTGGTTCTATTCTTTTTTTTTAAAAAAAAGAGACTTACGGCCACTTTTTACCCTTGCAACCATTGTAGCCTCTGCAGCGTCATGTGATCGGAATTCACATGGCAACGGACATGTATGGCGGACGTAGCGTCCCAGGGTCACGTGACCGCCCCTTGCGACTTTCCCAGTCAGTTTCCCAGAAGTAAATTTAATTGGGAGAAGCCATATCCAGTGTGATTCGCTTAACAAAGGGTTGCAAAAAAAAAAAAAAAAAAAGATCGTAAAACCAGGTGCAGCTCACTTAACGATCACCTTGCTTAACAACAGAAATTCTACCTGTAATCATGTAAGCAGCAAGAAGGTTCATTCTTTCCACAACGTAACACGAATATATGGTATATGCAGGAATTATTCCCCCTAGGCGGAAAGGCCTGAAGCATTTTTTTAACAGTTCCGACTATCCAAATCCAATCAATCCATCAGAATAGAACTGGAAGGGGCCTTGGAGGTCTTCTAGTCCAACCCCGTGCTCAAGCAGGATACCATTTCAGACAAGTGGCTGTCCAGACTCTTCTTAAAAACCTCCCGTGTTGGAGCACCCACAACTTCTGGTGGCAAGCTGTTCCACTGGTTAATTGTCCTCACTGTTAGGAAGTTGATCCTTCATTCCAGGTTGCTTCTCTTCCATTTCTTTGGAAAATAAGTTGACCCCTTCTTCATGGCAGCCTCTCAAAATACTGGAATGCTGCTATCATGTCCCCCCTAAACTAGCCAACCCCAAATCCTACAACCTTCATATGTTTTAGTCTCTTGGGTCCTTAATCAACTTAGTTGCTCTTCTTCTGCACTTTTTTCCAAAGTCTCAACCTCTTACAAGTCTTAACCGACCTTAAATCAAATCACAAAGTTCTGAAATAATTACTGCCGGTTCAACTTCACTGGTTCTCCAATTCTAATAGGGGAGCACACACTTTTTAGGATATATTTGATCCAGATAAACTTGGGAAGCAGCTCCGAAAGACCTCTTGTCATGCCCTTGTTGGAGTCTGATTCTGAGGGGGAGATTGAGCAGCTGACAGGGAGTGGGAGTGTGGCTCGTGGCTGTGGAAGAAATGGGGGAAGGGCACAGTCCGGCTGGACATTCAGAGGAAGACCCAGGGCCACCCCCTCTTCATCCTAGGGCATGCAGGGAGGAACGGAGAAGGGAGCAAAGTGTCTTACGGGAGAGGAAAAGGCCCTGATCCCTTTAATTAGTTGCAGCTGGGAGAACAGGATATAAGTGGGTCATTTTAAATAGCTCTTTGCTAGAAGCAAAGCATGCTTTATTTTGGCGTCTTCCCAACTGTGGATGCTGCGTTATCTTGTGGAAGTCTGCAGTTTATCATCCTGGCCTGCCATGTTGGTGGTTCCAGTGTGTAATTATGTTGGGTTTTTTAAAATTTCTAATTATTTTTACTTTTGGTTCAGACTGCCTTTACTCTCTTCGCAGACTGTTTTTGGAAGAGTTTGATATCAAGTCGAGGATAATTGGACATTAATGCCCTATTTGGAGGCATTAAAGGGAATTTATTCTACTTTTGTGACTGTATTATTTTTGTGTCATGCCCCGGGTCATCACGCCTCTCCTGAATTCACTGGTGTATAAGGGGAGGGGAGGAGGTAGGACGAGGGGCAGCAAAATCAGACTGGCAAGATTCTCTTAGGGGTAGTCCTTGACTTATGACCACAATTGAGCTCAAAATTTCTTGTGGCTAAGTGAAACATTTGTTAAGTGAACGTTGCCCCATTTTTACGTCCTTTCTTGCCAGTGTTGTTAAGTGAATCGCTGCAGTTATTAAATTAGTAAGCCAGTTGTTAAGTGAATCTGGCTTTCCCATTGACTTTGCTTGTTGGAAGACCGCTGGGAAAGGTTTAGCGTTAGGATGCAAAAGGTGATTTACATGACCCCGGGACACTGCAACCGTCATAAATATGGGTCAGCTGCCAATTTTGATGAGGTGACCTGGGGATGCAGCAATGGTGTGAAAAATGGTCGTAAGTCACATTTTTCAGGGACACTGTAACTTTGAATGGTCACTAAAAGAACTGTTGTAAGTCAAGGACTACCTGTATTAAAGTCAATCTCAATGAAAATACATTTGGCCTTCTTGTGCAGTTGATTTCCTGGTCTGGCCTCCCTCCAGTAACTAGAGTTCACACAACATGCTTCATCATCCGACTAGGTGCAATCCTGGCAGATGCATTCACACGATATGCTATGTCAATTGGGTTTTTATACTATTTAATTTGTACCCGGCTTTGATGGCTTTCTCTGTGAAGTTCTTTGCTTAATATAGTTAATCCTTGACTTATGAGCCACAACCGAGCCCAAAATTTCTGTGGCTCAGTGAGACAGTGGTAACCCAAGGTCGTAAAATGGAGCAAATCTCACTTAGCAACTGTCTTGCTTAGCAACGGAAATGTTGGACTCAACTGCGGTCGTATGTCAAGGACCGTCTGTACTATAGAAGCTTGTTGGGAGAGAATATTGACTTTTGTAGTCAAGAAAGGAGAGAAAATAGCTCAATACTGGCTCAAAGGAAAGTTTGGGCCAGCTGCAGGATCATTGGGAAGACGTCGGTGTTACGATGCCAAATCGTTCTTGCCATGAACCAATAATTTTATTATTAGGGGAAACGCCCAATTTTGTCCCTTTTCCATCATCATGCCGCATTTTTCTACCCAGTTTATTCTGCTTTTTCTAGGTGTGGTGAGAGAAAATTATGCAGTACGCTGTGCTACGGCCAGCTTTCTGGCTTTACTGATATAATAGCAATAGCCCTTAGACTTATATACTGCTTTACAGTGCTTTACAGCCCTCTCTAAGTGGGTTATAGAGTCAGCCTATTGCCCCCACCAAAACAATCTGGGTCCTCATAATCTGCATCCATATGGACTAGAAACTTGTCGATGTTTAAAAACAGAGTCCAGGGCTCACGGAGGCACATGCTGATGGCAGTATTTGGAGGACAAAGTAATTTCAGAAATCACTAACAAGCTGATCCCCTGTGAAAAAAACTCAACCCTGGGGGAAAAAAATAAAAGGTCAGTGACTTAGAACAGTTTGCTCCAAATGTCTCAAAGATAAACGGGATATAAAGATTTATTGGTAGTCCTCAATTTACAACCACAACGGAGCCCAAAATTTCCAGTGCTGAGCAAAAACAGTTGTTTTAGGTGAGCTATGTCTCATTTTATGAACTTTTTCTCCCCCCGCAAGCAGTTGTGAAGGGAAATCTTGCGGTCATTAAGCGAATTGGGCTTCCCCCATTGAGACTGCTTGCCGGAAGCCGGTTGTGGGAAAGTTACAAAGTGTGATCCTGGGACAGTGCAACTGTCATAAATATGAGTCAGTTGCCAAGCGCCTGAATTTTCATCACATGACCATGGGGGATGCTGCAAAGGTCGTAAGTGTGAAAAGAAGGTCATAAGTCACTGTTTTTTCAATGCTGTTGTAACTTCAAATAGCCACTACATGAATGGTTGTAAATTGAGGCCTACCTGTATATCAGTCACTGAACAAGGCCAGAGTAACAGATAGATGGCAGATAATCAGAGTTGGAAGGGACCTTGTAGGTCATCTAGTCCAACCCCCCGCCCAAGCAGGAGACCCTACACTATTTCTGACAGATGGGAGTCCAATCTCTTCTTGAAAGTCTCAAGTGATGAAGCTCCCACAACTTCTGAAGGCAACTTCTGTTACATGGGTTGATTGTTCTGTCAGAAAGTTTCTCCTTATTTCCAGGTTAAATCTCTCCTTGTTCAGTTTCCATCCATTATTCCTTATCTGGCCTTCAGGTGCTTTAGAAAATAGCTTGACCTCTTCCTCTCTGTATCTTAACATCAACTTTCCTTTTGAACATGCCTACATAATCAAGAACACTGTTCACATGTAACACTGATAAAAATAATTCTCTCTTTAATTCCAGCAGGCCGATTTGTATACAGCAGGGGTCTTCAAATTTGACAGCTTTAAGACTTGTGGACTTCAACTCCCAGAATTCCTCCTCCAGTCATGTTAGCTCAGGAATTCTGGGAGTTGAAGTCCACAAGTCTTAAACTTGCCAAGTTTGAAGGCCCTTGGTATATACAGCATGCATATAACCGGGGAGGGGAAGAGAAGAGATATATTATTAGTTTTCATCTGAGGAAGCCCATC